CCAGAGCATGGGTATAAGTGCGTTGGCCTCGCCTAGGAGGATGTTTAGAAGTTGCTGTTTATACGGGTCTACCAGTGCCCGTGGCCACCCTAGAAGTACCTGGGAGGGGGATATGTGTGCCCTCATGGATAGGATTTTCTTAATGTCTGTAAGTATCAAGTCCCAGAATGGTGCTATGTTCTTGCAGCTCCACCATATGTGTTCCATATTGCCCTCTGCTCTCTCGCACCTCCAGCACTGGTCGCTTACTGTGGGCCAGTAGGTGTGGAGAAGGGCTGGTGTTCTATACCATCTGTAAAAAGTTTCTTTGCGTGCAATGCTTAGTGGGGATTTCATCCCTGAGGTCATGATGTGTGCCCAGTCACTATTCGTCATGTGAATGTGGAGTTCCCTCATCCATTTTCGTTGGTATGGGGGTCTGGGTGTATCCACTGCTTCCATTTGGAGGAGGCGGTAGATGGCCGATAGGGGCCGTTTTGTTTTATTTCCCTGGGAGCATAGGGATTCGAAGTGCGTCTTGTCCCTTTTCCTCCAAAACGGGAGGACCGATTGGGTCAAGAAGTGGGTTAGTTGGGCTTTGGCCATAATGTCTAGTAATGTTCCTCTGTTACCTGGTGTGGGGAAGGCCTTTATTTTAGGAGGGTCGTCTCCTGTGAAGACCGTCGCTATTTCTGGGCAGGCCTCTCCAGTGACCCGAGTTAGAGTAGTGCTTCCCTGACCATTTTGGAAGTCTGGGTTGTTGGCCAGGGGGAAAAACTGGGATAGACCAGGGGATAGTCCCCAGTCCTCTCTATGTCTCCTCCATGTCCGGAGTGTGTTATGTATGAGGGGGTGGTGTGTTGGGGTAAGTGTTGTGAGTTGGCATGTCTGCCAAGGGAGCGTGTGGAGAGGGACCGTCGCAAAGCTCTGTTCAAGATTGTACCAGGCTTTAGGAGTGTCGACCTTATTCCAGTCCCTGACTCGTGTGAGGAGAACTGCTACGTAATATTTGTATAGGTGAGGTAAGCCTAACCCCCCCCTCCCCGGTGGCGCTGTTATTGTCGAGTATGCCAGCCTCGCAGGTTTGTTTCCCCATGTGAATTTTACGAATATGGATCTCAAGTGTCGGAAGAATTCTCCCGGTAGAGGGATCGGGAGGGTCTGAAACAGGTATAGTACTTTCGGTAGAGTCACATTTTTATTATATTGACCCGGCCCATTAATGAAAATTGGGGTGAGTCCCATTTTTTGAGGTCTTGGGTTATAGTATCTATGAGTGTCGGGAAGTTCTGAATGTACAGGTCCTTGAGTGACGGGGTGAGGCGAATACCTAGGTATGTCAAGCTTTTCTGAGCCCAGGCAAAGTTATGGGATTCCCTGATTCGGGCCTGTAAGGTCGATGGTATGGAGAGTCCTAGTATCTCGCATTTTTCTGTGTTGATTTAGAAATTCGATAGTGTGCCAAATTTGTTTATTTCTATTTGTACCTGTGTCAGTGTGTGGAGCGGGTCTGTGACCAAGAAGAGCACGTCGTCTGCGAATGCAGAGACCTTTACCTCTCCCCCTGGATAGCGGTGTCCCTTAATTTGGGGGTTGTTCCTGATAGCTGTCAGAAAAGGTTCTATCGCCAAGACGAACAGGAGAGGGGATAGTGGGCATCCCTGGCGGGTGCCGTTTCCTATTTGGAAGGGCGTGGAGTGTTGCCCATTGACCCGTACAGTGGCAGTCGGACCTATGTATAGTGCGCGTATCCAGTTCCTTAATTTGGGGCCTAGACCTAGATTCTCCAATACTCCAAATAGGTACTTCCAGTCTACCCTATCAAAAGCTTTTTCAGCGTCTATGCCCAGTAGTATTGTGGGGGTGTGGTTGGTATTGGCTCCATGTATGATACTTATGATTCTAGAGGTGTTATCCCTGGCTTCCCTTCCCGGCACAAAACCCGCTTGGTCGGGGTGTATCAATTCTGGCAATAATGGTTTAATACGGTTAGCTATCATTTTGGCTATAAGTTTAAGGTCTAGGTTAATAAGGGAGATGGGTCTGTAGCTGCCGCAAGCTTCCGGGTTCTTCCCCGGTTTGGGAATGATGGTGATAGATGCGCGTAGCATCGGGGCAGGGAGAGAGGTGCCCTGTTCTAACCCGTTGATCATCTTAAGGAAGTGAAGTCCCAGGTCATCTATCAGTGCCTGATAATATCTAGCTGTTAGGCCTCTGGGCCGGGGCTCTTTCCTTTCGGCATTGTTTTGATCGCTTCAGAGAGTTCCTTATGGGTGAAGGGCTCCTCAAGGGCCTGGGATGCTTCGGGCGGGACCTTGTGTGGTATATTGGCCCTTAAGTAGTCCTGTAAGTCTAAGGGGGTGCCTATGGGGGGTGTAAGGTTATAAAGATCGTGATAAAAGTTGCTAAATGCGTCTGCTATTTCGTCAGTGGTGTTACATTGTTTCCCCTGGCTGTTTTTAATGTGAGTTATAAAAGATTTTTGGAGCTTAGTCTTCAGTGCTCGTGCTAATAGTTTCCCACTTTTATTCCCTTGCGCATAGAAAGATCCTCTCGTTAACTGGACAGCCCTATGTGCTTTGAGGGATAGGAGGGATCGGAGTTCCATTCGGAGACCTGTTAGTGTGTGGAAGATCTCCGGCGTGGGGGTCTGTTTGTGCAGTGTTTCTTGTTCCTGTATGGCTAGTGTCAGGGCTGTCTGCTTTTGTGCTCGTTCCTTCTTGATCCTAGAACCCCATTTAATCAAGATACCCCTAATCACCACTTTGTGTGCCTCCCACACCCAAGCGTCGGTTACGTCTGTAGTAGAGTTTTCTAAGAAGTAATGGCGGAGTGTCGTCCGTATGTCCTCTATTACTCTCGGGTCATCTAGGAGGGTCTCATTGAGACGCCATTGTGGGCTTTGTGTAGGAGCTTTAAGTAATGTGAGAGTTAGAAAAATCGGGGCATGGGCCGACCATGTGATATTGCCAATGCTTGCTGCTTTAAGCGCTGGGAGGTACCTATGACTTAGGTGGAACATGTCAATTCTAGAGTAGCTGCGAGCGGTTTGTGAGTAGTAGGTGTAGTCCCTGTCTTGTGGGTGTACTATACGCCAGCAGTCCATCAGTTGATGGGCAAATAGCGCGTTCGCCAATAGTGTGCGCTGGTGTCGCCTCTTGTCCGAGGCGTGGGTGGAGCTGTCTATCGAGTGGTCTAATACCATGTTCCAGTCCCCCCCTACAATCACCATTCCTTCTGCGAAGGCCTCTAGTTTGTTTAAGCAGGATCGGGCGAATGAGCCCTGTTCTGTATTTGGTGCATATATATTGGCCAGTGTGATCTGCGTGCCTACACATTTCCCTTTGACAAATAGGAATCTCCCTCCTGGATCTGCCTTCACAGTGGTGTCTGTGAGGGCCGCCCGTGCGTTTACTAAAATCGCTACCCCTCTAGATTTGCTTTTCCCAAAGTTGCTGTGGTAGGATTGTTGGAGGTGTTTAGCTCTGATTCCAGGTTGAGCTTCTCCCCTGAAGTGCGTTTCCTGAATGAATGTGATGTCTGCCCTCTGTCTGTCAATCTCTTGGGCCAGCATGCTGCGTTTTTCCGGGGTGTTAAGGCCCCTCACATTAAGGGACATTAGCTTAATTTGTGCCATCATAGTGAGGCAGTCGTTTGTGCCGTTTTATACGGAATTGGGCCCACATGGCCAGGCGTGCGACAGTAGAGGGGTATAGGGTGAGTGTGGGGGAACAGAAACTATATACACAGAAGCAAGAAAAAATAAACATATTTACAAAGAGGTGGCGCTGTACTTGTGGGAGACTAAGTCGTGTCCCCAAGTTAGTGTTTAAGCGCTTCTCTGTGGGGAGGTGGAGTTCTGTCTGTCTGGACAGGTCCTGGTTAGGAGGAAGGAGTGGATTTCTGGGACTCAATGAGATCACAACATGTTCCCCATGCGGGGCCAGTGTCAATGTCCCTTGTAACGTACCCGGTTCCGGGCTCCCCCGGGACCCCCTAGTGTGACATAAGTATATGCATTTGGGTCATGGGCCCTAGTGGTCAGTGTAATATAAATCATTGAAGGTCATTGGCGGCATTGATAATATAGAGAATTATATCTAAGCGTAACATTAGCATGTAAAACAAGATAAGCCATAAACAGTTTTAGTATATGAGAGATTAGAGCAAAGGATATCTGAGAGCGTCCACAGCCGTCATCAGGCTTCATCGCCCCTGGTCTTGCTAGGGGTCTCGGTCCTAGCCTGAGGCTGCCTCCTCCGCTTTCTTGGTGTTCTCTGCCATGTGGGTCTTTGCTGGAGCGGTGCGGGTTTGCAGTTGGCGAGACCTGTCCAATCTTCGATTGCGACCTGGGGTAGCCCCAGTGCCTGCTGAAAATCAGGGACGTCCGTCGGCGTAGTTATGGTGTGGGTTTCGCTGTTAGTGGATACTGTTAGGGTGAATGGGAAGGACCAACGAAATTTGATCTGCTTTTCAAGTAGGGCTGATGTAATCGGCTTAAGAGCCCGTCTGGCTTGTAATGTGGCCGGTGAGAGGTCTTGAAAAACCGCCACTGGGTGTCCCTCGTATTTTAAGGCCTTATTTTGTCTGGCCTTATGGAATATTTCCTCTTTCAGAGGGAAGTTGTGGATGCGGCATATAAGGTCGCGGGGCATATCCTTTGGTAAGTTTCTGGGCCGTGCTGCCCTGTGGGCCCTGTCGAATTGTATTGCTGTATCAGTTGGTCTATTGAGGACCTGGTTGAAGAGGGCAGTCAGTACCTTGATGGGGTTTTCGGTGGCGTCTTATGGGCCCTCTGGGATTCCCCTCACCCTCAGGTTGTTCCGCCTACCCCTGTTGTCTAGATCGTCCAATTTTCTTTGGAGGTAGGCTATAGCGTCTGTATGCCGGGTTTGTAGGGCTTGGGATTCTGCCCATAAGCGATCATGTGTCTCCTCTGCATCCTCCAGACTCTGTATTCTAGTGCCTAGGTGCTGTACATCAGTTGTAATTACTTGCAATTTCTCGCCAATTTCTGGAACATATCTGTGAGGTCTTTCTTCGAGGGCAGCCGTGTGAGTAGCGCCCTGATGTCGGATTCGTCCCCTGAGCCCTCTGATGGAGCTGGGCTGGGAGGCTGGCTGCCGCGTGTGAGGGCCGCAGGCGCCATTTTGGATGTCTGGTGTGCCTCCGTTTGTTCGGCAAAGAACCTCCTCAGAGAGGACTTTGCCGGCGGGATGTCGGTCGAAGGGGTACTCCCCGCTGTGTTACGCGCTTTTTTTGTCGCCATTGCTGCTTATACGACCGGGGGGCTGCTTGTTTCCTCCTGTCCGGCACGGAGCTCCGTTACTGCGCTGCCAGTCTCGTCGGAGTCTTGGCCACGCCCCCTCATCGGCATTTTTGCGTTGCCGACCGATGACGGTCCTGAACCGTCCTAACGGTCCTAGTTACTTACCTGATCGCCGTCGTTCCCCTGGCGGCGATCAGCGTGGCTCCGGTTGTGGGGAGACTGCCTGCAGCCCAGACAGTCTCCCCACACTGATTTAGGACCCCTGTGGCCATGTGATCGCTCAACAGAGCGATCACATGGTCACAATAGGTGTCCATGTGTCTGCCTGCAGGGGGACTGCCTGTGCTGACAGGCAGTCTCCCTGCTAGTGTAAAATCAATTAAAAAAAATAAAGTTAATGTTAATAAAAAAATAAAATAATTATATATGTGTATATATGATATATAGACATATATTATATCTATATAATATATATCTATATATCATATATATATAATGTCATACTAAGTGTATTTTTATATTAAGTTAGCTAATAGAGAATAAGATTTTATATTATACATATTAATATAAAAATACACTTATAATTAAATTACACACGTATATATATAATATATATAATAACTATATATATTGTATATATATATTATTATAAAATATAAATCATAAGTAATTTAAATTAAATAAAAATTTTTTTAAATAATAATAAAAAAAATTAAAAAAATTATATAGCTATATATTTATATCAAAATACACTTAGAATGAATTTGTATATATATCTATGTATATAAAAATAAATAAAAATAATAAGAAATATACATATGTCCATATACAAAATTACATAAATAATTATATAAATATACACGTAGACTTCAAATGTATAAATATGCATATATATTTAAATTCTACGTGCGTATTTATGTAATATTTTTACATAATTCAGTAATTTTATTGATTGCAATTTGAGGGACCTGCCTGCCAACCCAGGCCGAAATTCCAGAGAATTTAATTTGCTAGCGCTGTATTTTACCCTGTAACGTTCTACGACACCCTAAAACCTGTACATGGGGGGTACTGTTTTACTCGGGAGACTTCGCTGAACACAAATATTAGTGATTCAAAACAGTAAAACATATCACAGCGATGATATTGTCAGTGAAAGTTACTTTTTTTGCATTTTTCACACACAAACAGCACTTTTACTGATGATATAATTGTTGTGATACGTTTTCCAGTTTTTAAACACTAATATTTGTGTTCAGCATGTCTCCCGAGTAAAACAGTACCCCATATGTACAGGTTTATATAGCATTTTGAAAGTTACAGGTCAAATATATGGGTCAAATATTTTTACATTGAAAATGGCCAGGTTGGTTACGTTGCCTTTGAGAGCGTATGGTAGCCCAGGAATGAGAATTACCCCCATGATGGCATACCATTTGCAAAAGAAGACAACCCAAGGTATTGCAAATGGGGTATGTCCAGTCTTTTTTAGTAACCACTTGGTCACAAACACTGGCCAAAATTAGCGTTCAATTTAGTTTTTTTACTTTTTTCACACACAAACAAATATGAATGCTTACTTTGGCCAGTGTTTTCGACTAAGTGGCTACTAAAAAAGACTGGACATACCCCATATTGAATACCCTGGGTTGTCTACTTTAAAAAAAATATGTACATGTAGGGTGTTATTCAGAGATTTATGACAGTTAATAGTGTTACAATGTCACTATTGATAAATTTTAAAAATGTATGTTTTGAAACCGCAATATCCTACTTGTACCTATAGCCCTATAACATGCAAAAAAAAGCAAAAAAGCACGTAAACACTAGGTATTTTTAAACTCAGGACAAAATTTTGAATCTATTTAGCAGTTTTTTTCATTCGCTTTTGTAGATGAGTAAAAGATTTTTCAAGTAAAAGTCAAAAAACATGTATTTTTTCAATTTTTCATCAGATTTTTGTATTTTTTTTAAATTAAAATACATGAGATTATATAAATAATGGTATGTAAAGAAAGCCCCTTTTGTCCTGAAAAAAACAATATATAATTTGTATGGGAACAGTAAATGAGAAAGCGGAAAATTACAGCCAAACACAAACACCACAAAAGTGTAAAAATATGCCTGGTCGCAAATGTACAACATCGCAAAAACAGTCCAGTCCTTAAGGGGTTAAAACATGCATATTCAAGTTTCAAAAAAATTAGAAAAAATATTATATCAATATAACACATAACTGAACAATTATTTTTATTAAGGGGACACGATAGGCACCCAGATGACTTCATCTCATTGAAGTGGTCTGGATGCAATGTCCCTGTTGCCTTAACCCTGCAATGTAAAATGTTGCATAAATATCATTATTATTATTTATATAGCGCCATCAGATTCCATAGCGCTGTATGATGGGTTGACTAACAGACATGTAATTATAACCAGACAACTGGACGTACAGGAACAGAGAGGTGGAGGGCCCTGCTCTATGAGCTTACATTATAGAGGGAGTTGGGTACAGTGACACAAAAGGTAAAAGTAGGGGTACGAGCTTACATTATAGAGGGAGTTGGGTACAGTGACACAAAAGGTAAAAGTAGGGGTACGAAGTAGGTTGTTAGAAAAGTATTCACTGAGGGCTTAGTAGGTAATTTTTGACAGTTGCAGGAGAGGAATCATGGGGTGGGGGATAAAAACCTGCTTACAGTTTAACTGATATGCTTTCTTGAAGAAGTGAGTTTTCAATGATTTTTTGAATGAGTGGAGAATGGGTGAAAGTCTTACAGAGAAGGGAAGGGCGTTCCACAGAAGAGGTGCAGCCCTGGAGAAATCTTGGAGGCGAACATCAGAGGTGGGAGTACGGACAGAGGATAGACGTAGGTCTTTGGCAGAGCGTAGGGGCCTCGACGGGACATACTATGTAGGGGGGCTGGTGGAGAGGTGTGCAAAGACAGAGGGACAATATAGTATACATTACACTGTATAGTATAGTTTTGTATTCCTAACACTATAGTGTTCCTTTAACAATGTTTTTTTTTTTTTTTTAATAATTTTTATTAGTCCATAGAATATACTTAGTATGTACTGTATTTTCACAAAATGTATAGTGGAAAGTGATAAAATAAATTTAAAGGAATAACTACATTAAATAGTTGTGTGTTGTATATGTTTGGCTTTATCAAAAGCATACGTAATTTAAGCATATATGATGTAAGTTAAGAATAGGATAAAGAACGAGTACAAAAATAAAAATGTTACGTCCCACAGGAAAACAACACCAAACCAGCTCAATCAGATGTAAGACAGATGATAAAGGAAGACAAAATAAAATGTTCATTCAAAATAGTCATCTCCATTCAAGCAGATTATAGTACTGTCTCTTGACAGCAGATTGTCAAAAGCTCTCATTCTCTCTGCCTATATGTGATCTCCAAAGGATTAAGGCTATCAGAAAGCATAAAACACATAAAATGTTATGCCTATGAACAGTAAAACTGGCAACAATTGCAATGCTAAAAATGAAAGCATAATTTCTTCATTGAATATGAAACAATCTGCTTGATAGTTTTCTGGGGGAGGTGAGTTGCACTAGACAGTGAAATCTTATTCTCTATTAGCTAACTGCAGACAGCTAATATTTGTATTTATTTGAATTAATCTTTTTTTCAAAATTGAAATAAATATACCGGACAAAGAGTTTTACAGTTGTTTCTACACTGTATATAGTGATGCATTTTCTAGCATAAGCTGTATAATAAACATTTAGTGAAGGAATTAAAGGCAGGCATTAATAGCTGTAATAAGTGTTGTCCATTGCTGGAATTAGCTCGGTTACCTGGATCTGACTGGCTTCTAGCTGTTAGATAACCGTTGTAGCCCATTGCATTTGACATTTGGCTTTACGATCTTCAGATTGTCCTTCTTTCTGATTGTTATGTTCATCCCAACTTTATTATTATTATTACTGGCATTTATAAAGCTCCAACAGATTCCATAGCACTTCATAATATTATAAAGGGGGGATTTAACAATAAATATAGTTGTAGAGGACCCTGCTCAAACGAGCTTACATTCTATAGGGGGTGGGATATAAAACACAATAGGACAGGAAATAGCAAACAAGCAAGGTGGGAGTGAGACAGGAGGAGAGAGTAGAGTGCTGCCTTTTAGGAGAGAACAAGAGACAGGTATGTGAGGTAGAGGTTTCTCTGGGAGGCCATAAGCTTTCCTAAAAAGAGATGGGTTTTAAGGCAATTCTTAAACAATTGAAGACTAGGGGAGAATCTAATGATGGTGTGCAGGCTATTCCATAGGAAGGAAGCCGCCCGCGAGAATTCCCGCAAGCGTGAGTCGGCTGCAAGCAGCAGATAGGAGAAGGTCATGGGCAGAGCAGACAAACTGGGAATAAGTGAATAGATATAAGAGGAGCTAGAATTGTTCAGTGCTTTATATGTATGGATAAGTACTTTGAATTGACTCCTATAGACTTAAATAAGGAGATGTTAATAAAGATGGACTGCTCCTGAACAAAGCATTGCAAAGCAACTATGCCTCAACAAGCGGTATCAAACACTTGCCTCCATCAAAATTGAACATTGCATTTTTACTAAATCTATATGGGATTTCTACAGCAATAAAATAAAATTTCACTTATGTTTACAGGAATTAGTCATACAGCCCTTTTCCTCTTTTTCTAGAACTTCAAGTCACACAAAGTAAAGCAAGCATGAGTCTAGTAGACTAAATTAAAAGGGTACCGTAGACTGCAATGACATGCAAGCTACCAAAGGAAATATTAAGAGTCCTAATAATAGATTTAGATGTCAAATATGAAAAGAGGATCTCATAATTCCAATGATCGGGCAATAACAGAATCTGTGCGGACAAACATCTAATTTGAAGACTAAAAAATGTTGACTAAATCTTCAGGCCAAGACGGA